CATCAGTTAACTAACCACTCAAAGCTAGAGAAATAGATCTAGGTTGCTTACTTAACCAGTAGCTTAATTTGTCTAATTGCTTTAAAGTTTCTGCTGAAGCTACTTGAATTGAAAGCTGAGTTGTTATAAATCTCTATCTGAAATTTCATGAGTCAAACTCTTCACAATCAGGTGTGACTAAGAGTGATATAAGGTTACACTAAGATGTTGCCTCTTTATAAAGAGCATGATAAATAAAAAGAAAAATTGAATATTATACAAAAAACTATTTTCACTGAAATAAGGTATACTTTCTTTTGAGTTAACTAAAAGAAGTGATGCAGGTGACATCACATCACAAAGTGATCAACAAAATGATACAGCTCAAGGGTGATACCTGATTCACCTTCATATTCCAGGACTTTATCTCTCATGCAGGATTCTGAATCTTGACACAGTTCACACCATGCTTTATTTAACAAGTGAGGTTTTACAATATCAATTTTCCCACTCTTTCACATGAAACACAAAGTTCATTGCTCTGGCATGTGGGATCAAAGTTGTTCAGCTGTCAGCTGTGGTTTTGATACGGTTCACATCTGCGTGCTCGCTCTTCTGCTCTTTGGGCTGTCTGTTTGTCTCTGCAGCTGATGAATTTCCATGTTCTTCGCTAGGAAGTTACTTCTGTTTTGAACCTGTGAATACACAAACATAGACTTTACTCCAAATTATTAACTGAAATGAATTTTTAATCTTGCTTCTGAACTTTTGACCAGAATCAAAGAATTCTCTCTCAACTTTGCTTGACTACTGTTAGAACAGTACTTGATAATTTGCTTTGTAACAGACTTGTTTAAAAAGGACTGTTCAAGAATTATTTGTAATAGATATACAATCTTTGCATTTTTTCCAAAATCTAAAATACGTACATCATGTTTCCATGCTTCTGAACTGCAACCTCTGTTTCCTCCCCCTCTCTTGTAAACAAAGGTAAAATATCTGCTGTCTTGTTCTGACAACGAAAAACCATCAAAGTAAAACACGCATATGTATACATATAGGAAATAACATTTTTACAGAAATCAAAAACTTATTAAAAAGATGCATAATTGATATTATGCGATACTAAACTTATCTAAATTATCTGTAATATGAATTACTGAATATTCTAAATATATACTCCCATCCCAGAGTTTGCCACAGCTGATAAATCAATGGAAGATTGGAAAATCATGTCCGGATAACAATTTTCCAAGCCCACTGTAAAATCCAGCTGCTATATTAATTCACTAATTGCCAAGTCAGATTGACCTGAATATTGTTTCGATGCAGAAAACTTCTGGGTTTATTGGTAAATTCTCTATCCAGGTAAAGTCAAGGCTTGGACATAGCCTAGGCTTTAAACTGGAAAGATGCCTTTTAACTAATTTCTAAAACAAGGTTCTCAAGAGTAGCAGCTATGAGATGCTTACAGCACAGCAAACTGTTGAAATGCATTTGTACAAAGCAAATGATCAGAAGCCGTAGGTACCAGACTAATTAAATCATTCAGCAGTTGGTTTAATCTGAAGCCTCTCCCAAGGCAGCTGACCATAGGCCAGCCAGCCTCTGCAGCAGGGCAGAGCAGCTCCGACCCAAATACACCCAGACACCCGTGACACACAAGACAACAGACAAGGGGACACAACAGGGAGACAAAACTCCGGGCCAGAAGAATGGCCGCAAGGACGGAGAGAATGCGGAACAAGATGGCCCAGGTGAGAATGATGGCGAGCTGATAAGGCCGAGACAACCCTGAAGAAAGAAGATGCTGACACGATGACTTATCCCGAGAAGCGCAAATACGGATGCCCGAGAATCCTACGGCCACAATTCTCTGGCTGTCCTTGCATTCGGACAAGTCCTAGCCCGCTACAATGGATCCTTGCGGCGCACGGCTGTGGACACAGCTCAGAACAAGACCTCAAAAGACACCCGATCGGATGCTTAAAAACAGAGATGGGATTCCAAGGCCTCTGAGAGGTCCCGAGGCACAGCTCTGACAGTGTCAGCGCCAGGCCGAGGAACCAAGAGATCAGAGATGTTAAGAGTGACGCCAGGGTTTCCTGTAACCTCCTGGAAGGGCTGAGGCAAGACACATACGACACGAGGTGCACAAAAGGCACGACAGACAAGTGACCCGACACATCCCCGGACCGCTCTGCCCTGTGCACCTCAGCATTGGGAGCCAAAGTGAGGCTTTCCCTTGAGGTGGCCTAAAGGGCCACTTCTTGAACCTCGCTACGTCCAAAGCAGACTCAAAACTTCCTGGCCACGAGTCCCAGCCCGGCACCCCGCTTCCATCCCCCCTCTGCGGATCGTAGCCTTTGAGTTAGCTCTCGGACGCCCGGGGGGTGAGAGTCCACACGGGCTGCCAAGGAATGCCGTCTCGTCGTCTGCCCAGTTCCTGCCGTCACCATGCTGCTGTCTCTTGATGAGCTACACGAAAAAGAACAGAACATCATCCCAGGATCTTAGCAGAACATCGGGCAAACCCTGACAAGTCTGCTACTCACGGTCTCTCGAGAACGCCCGCATCCCAGGGCCGCACGCTTCGGCCACGCCCGGAGCCAGATGCCATCATCGCGGGGCACGCCTGCGTTAGGAGGAGACAAGGTGATCTGTCACTGCCGAAACTCGAGCGGGCCCTCGCTCCTCCTCCCGACATCCCCAACTCACGGCAACCCCTCGGCTGTTGCTAAAGGCTGCCCGGATGGCACCGTCACGTGGAAAACGCCAAGGCTTCAGCACGCGGTCCCTTAACGCTTCCGCAGGGCTCACGGGAGCGGCGAACCAGGCCTGCCGGCCAGTCGGCGAGGGGGTCTCGGTAAAAGGTGCCTGGACCGCCTAAAGCACGCAAAGGAGAAGGGATGCTTGGAGTTGCAGCTGAAACTGAGACCTCAGCAATAACAA